ACCGGCGATGGACATGTTGTGGCCCCAACGCAACGAAACACCCCGGTTGCTGCCGCTCCTCCTCGTACTCCTCCTAACCCAACTCGATCCGGACCAGCAGGCTCTGCCTCAATGCGCCATCCAACGCCAGCTGAATAAAATCTATCAATCATTTGCACGTCCTAACTCGAGATATTGTTAGCGCCAAAGTTCTATATTGTAGCTTCTAAAATTACATTTGTCTGTTTCGAAGTATCAAAAAAATACTAATCCATCGATCGCGCTTATGAAACAGGGACATAAATGCATGTAAGTATTAGAAACATGGGATTAATTTATTAACTTACAACACGGGTCTATGTAGCCTTTTTCCTAACCGGGTCACCAAATTCATCAACATCCAAAAGTTTTTTCATGGAGGTTTTCTTTTCCAAATGAGGCGCAATTTTCGAGGCATAGTCTGGATGAGACTTGAACTTTTCTTGCTGCATAATTATAGAAATACGTTGCGAAGCGGGCTTAGGCATAAAGAATTTTGATGTGCCATTTAAATTCAATAAATGTGTCAGGTGGTGAAGATGATTGTCATCAGTTGTCGGGCTTTCAATAGCTGGACCAAGTAGCTCTGACTCACTTAAAGGTCCATCTTTGAATGTGGTATTCAATTCCTTCCGCCTCTCCCGAATTAAATCGGTAAACGAGTAGGAAAGTCCGGGAGGGAGAGGATCTTTACGCAGAGGAGAAAGACAGGGCGACTTGGGATCTTTCCTCAAGTAATCATCTATTTCTACCGTTGAAAAGAAAGCAACAGCAAGGGGCAAGTCTGGCATTTCCATAGCTTGCGAAAAAGCGGCTCTAGTCCACAAATTCGAGATTTGTAGGGCAATTGCTGCTCTAATAGCATGTTCTTCTTTAACTAGCCATCGAACCTCATCATGAATTGTGATGGCAAGCCGAGCTGTTATTTGATGCCTGTTGCAGAGCCATAACATCCCCGTCAATAAAAGGTGCAAATAATCAACGGCACTCGACTGCACTACCCAATTCATTCTAGAGGTTGCAAATTGAGAACCTTCGCCTATGTTCCAAGGAGACAGCGCATCTGTAATTCTAGACTTAAGAACCGGGGTTCTTATATCATTGAGGGCGTTCTCAATACTTGCGGGGCGCACTTCGCCTTCAGAAGCTATATTCGCCAAGTCATATTTTCTTCCAAGCGATAAAGATGCCAACGAATTGAACATATATGATTCCGACCCGCCTACAAGAAGATGCCCATTTTTGGAAGAGGAAGTAGACAAAACTTCTCCTTTTGTTTGGCGGTATAGTTTAGTGGCTATTTCATCGCATTCTGCCTTGGAAGTATTTGGCTGTGTCGAATGAAGTAGAGACGATGCGAACTTTATCCCAGAGCCATAAAATCTGGCATAATTAAATACCTTGGCAAGATCACGAGTTGCCCCATTGCCAAGCAAAGATGCTGTTTTTGAATGCAAATCGGTGCCGTCTGTTTTGCTGCCTGCTAAGCCCATCCAAGAAAGAGCTGTCGAACCATGTTCACCAAATTGAGCGTCTCCGAAAATGGAAGATATCCACAATTCTTGTGCATCCACATCTGCACCAACAAATTTCCACCCCGATGGAGCGACAATACGGCTTTTCAGATCAGAACCTAAAACAGAGCTCTTTGACGATGCTGTGCTTGTCATCCAAAGGCGATCAGTGGCTCTTCTTGTGATTGTGCCCATAGGACATATTTGAGGCAATATTGCAAGCGGGGAATGATCAGTAACATCGGGAGGCGTTTGCATACGAAGATCGATTGCAAGGGCATCCGAAACCCTGGATCTATATGAGGTCCAGAATGAAAATTCAGTACAAGCCTCAAAGGCTAGCTCAGCAAGTTCAGGAGAACGAGTGGCTTTCAGCTTCTTATTTAAGAAAAAGGGGAAAAAAGCCTTGGAAATAATAGACCCAACATTGGACATGTCCGAACTTTCTGAATCTGGCTTGGGATATGGGATCGGGGAGTGAGACTGATCAGGGTTAAGATATGACCACCCTTTTCCAATCCCCAAATGATGCACAGGTTTATCATCCCAAGTTATCCCCAGCAAATAGGGCACAATCGTCATTTTGGGGCTTATGAGAACTGACTTGGTTGTTGGATCCCACAGCTTTTTATACCAAATAGGCTTTCCAAAAAACAATGGGTTCCCTACTGGCTTAGTATAGTCATATTGACGCGGAGTATCTTCCATGTCATCTACCATAGGAACCTGGTCTTGTTCGTGGGATTTCGTCTTTTTCTTCGCTGTCTTTTTTGTCTTTGGTAGCAAACAATATTTTTCGGGAACCGGAGTCCAATCAAGATGCCTTAACCAAGGATCATCTTTCCACTTATCATTGCAACAAAAGCTCTGTATTAGATCTATTGCAAGATTATTCAAAGAATCTTTAAGCTTGTTTGAGAAAGAATTTAAAAGCGATTCACAGCCCGTGATCCATGAGAACCAGCCAGTGTCACTTGGAAGAATCATTTTCCCCATCGCCAGTAATGAAGAAAAAGTTGCAGGATGCGGGTTGTATGAGAAAAATTTGGGCCATACAGACCTGAAAAGCTTATGAGTCAAAAATACATCATTTGCGCAATACTCCAGCAACTGATTCCAATTTTCATCAATTTCAGATAACGAGGTGCAATTGAGAAAAAAATTTCGATCCTCTTTAGATGGCACCGGTATATTACAATGCAACGACGAAGCTTCGGAAAGAGAGTTTGGAGACGAATGATGAAGCCAACGGCCAAGAGAGCTCTTGGAATATTGATCAATATCAGTAAACGAATCGGGTATCTCTGAGGTATCACTAAGATCTTCCTGAAATAAATTATCGAAATTATCGTCCTGGATATTAGCTGGTGAATTAGACGGCTGATCAGGCCTTTTCTGTATTTCCTTTAACATTTTTCGATATTTCAGCCATAAAGTTCTTTGCTGATTAGAAAGACCAGACACGGCACAGTGTAATGCCATCGTATCCAGATAATAAAGGTTACTTGATAAATCTAGGCAGTATTCTTCAAAAACCCTTGCTCGATCAAATGAAATGTTATGGCCAATAACAAGGCGATCTCTTCCCAATGGGATCAGATAATCTGATGCAACCGACTGGGAGGGGGACTCAAAAAGAGGAGACTTCCAAAAATACCAGGCATTGCAAGACGCAGCGACAGCCATAATCGCATGTTTTGAAATTCGAGGGCAAGTTTCGATGTCAAAATATAGATCTTCTGAGTGAGGTGGGTGGGTGATTTTGGTGCACATGTCGGTTTTCGGATCATAACAAGTCCATCCAGAGGGGAGACCACCGATTGCATCGAAATTAGGCAAAGGCGGAAGTGGGGTTGACGACATTGCCTTTGCTCTGTTGATCCAACAAGCAGACAATTGCAATGATATTTCTCTAAAATGGCTGTCCAAAGTTCCTTTTAGATCCGGAAATTTACATAACTTCAATGCACTTTCAACATCTAATAAGGAGCTCCCGTCTGTAGACGGCTCGCTTAATGCAGCTTCCCAAGGAATTTGGTGCAGATCAAGATGAAGGCGTGCAAGTTCAGTTAACAATTGCTGCCTTTTTGATTTCCGGTGTGTTCTGTGCATATTTCCAAACAACTGCTTTGAGATCGAGGATGGAAGCATATGAATTCCAAACGCATTTATTCTTGAACTTGAGAGACATCTACAAGAAAGACGGCCCGGAGAAACGTGGCCGATGGCCATATTTATGTTCCTGCTGACCTCGCCAATCAAGTATTGAAAAGTGTTAATTTAAACTTTTATTTTAAAGACATGACAAGTTCAGCTGATGTTAATGATCTCATTGTGGATATCTTCCAGGCATCTATTGTTGCGGGATCTACTAAATTCTTCCTTAAGGAATTATCTGATGAACTGAAGCAAGATAATATTTGTGTACTTTCGTTTTCCCATGTAGAAAGAATACTTATCGAGTATTTATCTTCCAACTGTAATTGCCAATCTCTGCTGTATTTATATAGCTGTTTTGAAAGAGTCAGTGGTAAAAAGCTACCTGAAGTGGAGAATTTAATCTTCAGATATGGATCCCTGGTGTTGGAAAATCCAACGTTATTTAATGACATCCCATTGAATACCATGAGTGCGATGCAATTACCTTTGATGGCTGTCTTTATAGATAAGGTTGTCAAGGCCACCGAAGAGAAAGATAGGGATGCTCTTTTCGCTACAATGGTTAGGAGTTGGATTGTTTCAGGCTTTTTCGAACTTGGAACTTCCCTTACCGGCAAAAAGATGGCAAAGCTATTTGAGTTTGCATCAAAGCTGATTAATTGCTTTAACAAGCCTCTATTTTTTGCCAATTTTGTCTTGCCAGAAAGTGCAGCGATCGATGAAAAAAACGTCTATCTTCTTGAGCGTGATAGGTTTTTCCTTGCAACAATGCTATCCAGAGGTCCGCTAAACGGAAACTTGGTTAGGCTGTCCCAAACGGAGACACCCGACCCGTTGGAATATAAAAATTATATCGATCGAATCCATTTTTTTGTAAAAGGGCTTCTTTCAGACCCTGGCCATAGGCCCGCGATTCTTTCTTATTTTACAAGCTTGTTATTAGCTAACCACAACAAGTCAAAGCTGCAGTACGACATAAATTTGGTATCTTCTTTTGCTTGTCTATTCAACATTTGTTGTCTTTGGCTGTTGTTTTCGCTTCCATTTGCGTCCCAGGGGCAACAAAAGGTTGGTATTGCCTTTTAACTTGTAGATTAGCGCTATCAACAGCAAATTTATTTCGCAAGAGCTTTCCAATGAAGGAAAGATCGCCACAAGTTCTCCCTTGGATTCTTTTTCATTCATAAACACCTCTTTTTTGATTACTTTAAGAAGCATCAGGTTGGGGGTCATTCCTTTAATAAGATACTTTGAGCTCTTATCAAAGGCCAATTCGGATCTTGATCCGGCTCAGAGGACCGAAAATGCAGGCCAAAGGTTGAAACAAGCCCAATCATCGGCCATATTTTACCTTTCAAATAGAGAATGCTTTTTGGAACCTCTTGGTCAGTTTTATAAATTTTCTGTGCAGTGGTTTGCATTCGCCATTTCAAAGAAAAAACAAGACTCGGCTGATGATGAAGCCTCTATTTCCGCCACTTCAAGGGCGATATTTCTTGAGGATTTGCTTGAAATTCTTGTTTGGATTTCAGGAACTTCTGCTGCATCGCTTGAAAATCAGCATGCCGCATGGACAATGACCCTGCTAAATACGTTTCGCCCCTTGCTTCTAGAAGAGTCCTTTGGTTCTCTCATCATTACTTGTTTAGAGGGGAAGGTTATATCCAATCCTCATTTGATATCAAAATGGATTGAGGTAAGTATTTTCCATCTGCCCACGGGGCTATCTTTCACTTTTTTGCTGAGCACTAATTTTATCTTGCCATTTATTTGGTCTATTGAAATAGTTTGTCGTTTCTAACGTTTAGTTTCTTTATTGGTCTTTTGAAGCCATGGAAAATGACATTGGCAGTTTTATTTACGGGGCGTTCAAGGATCTTCGCCAATTCATGATTTCTTTGATTCGATTCTGGACAGAAATTGAAACTAAAGCAGGAAGGGAGAGTGCAGCATTCTTTTATGAGCGATTCTCAATAAGGTACCAAAGAAGGCCTTTTTTGATAGATACCGCCTGAGCGCAGTGTTAAGGATACTTTGGACAATGTCATCTCTTCCGTTTAGGGGATTCATCGTAGATTTACAAGAGGATCCATTGATAACAAGATTCGTTCATTTAATAGTCAATGACATGACATTCCTTTTGGATGAATCCATAGATAGACTTGGGCAATTATCAGAGAAAACAGAGCTTGGAGACGAGAGGCTTGAGAGGGAATGCCAACCTTACCTTCTTTTGAGCAAAGAAACCCTCAAATTGGCTTTTG